ACAAAGAGGGCTTCTCATCATTACAACGGTCTCTAATTCTTCATATATACAGGGCATATGAGCATTTTTCCTAAAATTAAAGTCAGAAAATATCCTTTATTTGGTGTCCTTATAAGATGAGTTGAAAGTAAAGAACAGTTGAGGAAGACTCCTGGGAAACTGGGCAATGAGAACATAAGAGACCTCTGCCCACTCACAGACTTGCCAGTGAGTGCAAGTATGTGGGTGCATGAAAAATACCATAGTCCACAACTGTTGTTAACAAACTCCTGCTCACCAGAGTTACCCTAAAGATCTTTGTGGTTAAATTACTCACGGAAACCATGAACAGCAATCTGAAAGGTGAGTATCATTGACTTAGTCATGCTAATGGGTCACTATCCAGAACCCAAGTAGTTCAAAGTTTAAAGGGCAGAAGGCTTTGACTTACGTGTTGCAAAACCCAGGTCTTAAATAATTATAAACTATGTTTTTCTAGAGGAATCACTGTATAGGGATCAACAGAACATCACTGTATTCTCTAAGAAATGGCATTTGAGTTTTAATAAGACTTTACAAATGTACCCTTGGGAGAGCTTTTAAGAATAGAACAATATTTTTAGGGAGAGAATATAGTCTCCCATGTACAAATTCCTGGGAAAATGTTCCTGTTCTCTTAATCCAGCAAAAATGTCTCCCTAATCCTTATTTTTTTTTTTTTTTTTGCTATATGACTTGAATATCTACGACTAGATATTCCCTCTGTTTAATGAGCAGTACTACAAAAAATACTTGAAATTGTAAAATATTCTGTTATCAGTAAGACCACACAATAAATTAATAAACTTTCATATGCTATCATACATGAGTTTAGCCAAAGTGTTCCAGATGAGATTAGGACACTAATGGATATTTATTTTTGCAAAAAGCAGAAGTGAAGATATTATGGACGCACAGAGATGAGGTTAGGTTAAGGAGACCTTGGTGAGTACTGTATGCGGACACTTGGAATTTGAATCAGAAGACAAAACAGGGCAATAAGAACACTTCTCAGCTTCAGCATGGGTTCTAGTGTGATCACTCCTGAGTGATATTACAGTCCCTGGAAGAAAGCAGCTAATATTCCAACCAGTTATTACACATTCAAGTCAGATTGCCTTCCATAAAGGGTCACAAAGCTCTGACGTGGGATCTTAGCATATGCTGGAGATGGACATTGCCTTCCATAAAGGGTCACAGAGCTAGCTCTAAGGTGTGATCTTAGCATATGCTGGAGATGGACATTGCACCTTCAGTAGGAAGAAAAGAACCATATTTCCCCTGTCTCGGGGGAAACGCACTTGAAGATTATTGTGGGAAGAAACATGTTGAAACAGCCAACTGAAAACCATTCATCTTCCAAACTAATTGGAATCTCCTGGGAAGAGCCTGTTCCATTCCAGTAATGAGAAAAATTGGGATTCCTAGTAACAGTAACTGCAAATGGAAAAAATTTTAGTTGCTAAAAACAGCATTATTATTGTTGAAGAACAAACTGTCTCTCTGCAATGATTACTAACTCAGAAATAGAGAAGCCCTGGATAGTGATTCATCTCGTTCCCTGATAGTTACTTAATGAATGGCATCACGAAGAGGATGTTGGTCGTTTCCTCAAAAGACAAAGAAGTCAATTCATCGAGTAAACAGTTAAGTAGGCAGTGTTTTACAGTAGTTAGAGCTGGGTTTCTGCAGTCAGACTGCTCAGGTTCAAATTCCTGCTTTACCACATCTTAAGTTCATGACCTTGGACAATTCTTAATATTTCTGGACTTCAGTTTCCTCATTTGTAAAATGAAGATTAAATCACAACCAGCCTCAAGTGAAGTGCTTTCATAATTAAATGAGATAATCAAAATGTTTCATACAGTGTCTGCCATTTAGAAACTGCCTTATAAATGTTACTATCATTGCCATTTCTTGGAGAGTTTTATGAATTAAGTTGAACACAGCAAAAGGATATTTTTGCCCTAATATCTCCCATAAAAACCTAGTCTTATTACATGAAATTCCTCACTAGAAATATATTCCTCAACTAACAACATAAATATGCCTGGAATACCAAGCATAAATATGATTATAAGACACTGTCAGCTTCTAAGACATTAAGTGAATTTACTTTCCAGATCACTGGTAGTACTAATGATAAGTTTCCCTTGAAGTAACATAGAAATGGAGAAGAAAGAGCTGGAATGTACTGGGTGTCCTGGGAAGACAGAGAGACACATTAAAAGTGGCAAACTTCCTAATGGGTGAGTGGAAACCAGAAAAAAAATTCCTAAATCCTTTTCCTGAATTGATACATTGGGAAAAAATGAATGGCTTTCAGATTTAAGAAAGTTGGATTCTTACTTTGCCTTTGCTCCTAACAAGTCTGGGGACTGCTGACCCTCGACTTTCACCTTCAAAATTAGAAAACTGACTAAAGTAATCTTTAAGGTCTTTTATATTTCTCAAATTATACAAGCTGTCTTAAGTCCTTGATCACATTATTTATTGTAACCTGGCACCCATTTAGCTAAGCTTTTTTTCTTGTTCCTTGATAACAGTTCAAAAACAAAGAGACAGGGAAAGAGGTAGAAGACATAGACCTCTGATAAATTAGTGAGGAGAACTAAAGGGGAGTGTGCTCAATATGATGAAGAATGGGAGCCCTAAGACAAGCTCAGAGGAGAATTTGAAAGCTGTGGTTACTGAGGAAATGGGAAGTGGACGTCCCAAAGCACAATGATCAAATTAAGAGATCTGAGCAGAGAATCACATACGAAAGTGCAAATGGTGGAGATTACAGATGTAAAAGAGATCCAAAAAGAATAAATTGCATGTTGTATGTAGTTGAATTGAATTACATTCATGACGAACAGACCTATCAACAAATACAACTTTTTTAGAACTTAAGAGGACCCTATAATTTTGTGTTTAATTTTAAGGATAAGAGAAAATTTTAAAAACATATGTGGAATGTAGTAAAGAGAGCAAATGTAGGGATAAAGTAAGAGAAAGTGTGGAAAAGTGTGCAAACTCTGTTCAAGCAGTAATAAGCAGCAAGTACAGGGAGAAGAACTAGAAAAACTAAATAAAATTTATTTAATATTTGCTCTGTGCACGGTATGCATGCTCACAGCCTGAATTAGTTTGTTTAATATTCATAATAACCCACGAAGAAAAACACTTATCTTCATTTCACAAAATATACAGTTTTTATCTGCATTTCACAGACCAGGAAACAGAGCCTATTAGTGAACTTCTCAAAGTTTCATGGCCATTAAGTGACTGGCCTAGCTTTCAAGCCCTGATCTATCTTACTCCAGAGCTCATAGTCTTAACCTCTATATTTAATCCCAAGGGGTGTACTTCAAGGAGACTCAAGGACCAGAACTTAAGAAGCCTCAGCCAAACTCAAAGAAAATGGGCTAAAGAGATGAACAAAATATGTTACCTTTATCTCTTGCTTCAAAAAAGAGACAACATAAACAAAAAGGAATCCCTCACTTCTGGGCCACCCCCATACACCGACAGTCCTCCCTCTACCACCCTGCTGTTAACCCCAAGTAATTTTTTAAAAGATTAATTCTAATTTACCCTTATGTACAGATGAAATAGCCTAGTATAATTTAGAGAGATTCTAAAAGTAACCATTTATCTTTCTGATTTCTAAAATTAGCCCAATACATGGGCTAATCTTCTTAATTGAAGATTTAAATCTTAAAATGTAAATGGACTGACGATGTAATCTTTTTGATGATGCAGTTGACTAAATGTGATCAGTCAAAACTGTCAGATAAAATGTCTGGTCTCATTCATTCAATAACAGTTTATTGAGTATCTGTTACATGCAAGAAAGACAAAGAGCTAGTTCTGGATTTACAGAGGTTTCCAAAACAGGTATGATCTGTTCTCATGAGCTTACTAGAGAGTAATGGATGGGGTAAAAAACAAATGAATATATAATCAGAAATTATAATAAGTACCCTAAAAGAAATAAACATAAAAGCATTTTTATAACATTGAGGGTAGACAGACTAGAGTTATATAAGACTCTTCAGGAAGGCATTTTGAGGGAGTCATATTTAAACTGAAACCTGAAAAATAAGATTTATCAATGCAAGAATGCAAGCAGAACATTTCAGTGAGAGAGAAGACATTGCAAATTCTCAAAGTGAAAAATTACTCAGCATCTTCAGGGAAATGAAAAGGACTAACATAACTGGACAAGTAAGAGATGAATTAGGGCTGTTACATACTGATGTAGCCATGAAATGCCTTAAAAACCAGAGTTGGAACTTTGAATTTTATTCCAAGGGAAATGAAACTCCACTGAGTGGCTCTAAACAGAAGAATGGATCTTGTGTATGGTTTTAAAGGATCAGGCAGATTCTGTCTTTAGAATGGACCTGCAAAGAGTATTTTTGTGCAGTTTAGAAAGGGAAGAAGGCAGAAAGGCATTGAGGTACTTTATAGGACAATGTGGAGTATCATAGCAAGTAAGAAAACAGGCTGATATCAGAAGAATTTTAATTTCACAACCTTGACTACAGTCATCCCTGTTTACCTCACATGAAACCAAGAGGATAAGCACATGTAGAGATATTATTATCATGAGATTACAAACCATGTCTATTTTATGACAGTGTTTTTCCATCATTAACTCAGACAACATAAAATAGCTTTCTTTCTATGGAGTTGGTAATCAAAAAATGCTTTTATAATTGAATTGATACTACATCAGTATAGTAATAAAATATACTTAATAAGCCTCTGGCTGGCCTCTCATATAATACTCAGCATTGGTGTTCCAGTAGAATTATTCGTTAACTATTACTCCAACTAGCATGCTGGTTAACAGAAAAATAAAATAAAATAAAATTGTGGTTTATCTAACTTTTCACCTCACCCCACTGCTAATTCATGCTGACAGTCCCTTTCTCTGCTCTACTTTTTTTCTTATTTTTACACACAGACTAAGCCATAGTCAGGAATCAGTGATGAAAAATTATACAGCAATAACAATGTTTATCCTGGTGGGACTAACAGATGACCCAAATCTACAGGTTCTGCTTTTCATATTCTTGTTTCTAACCTATTTGTTGAGTGTTGTTGGAAATTTGACCATCATCACTCTCACCTTGGTGGACTCCCACCTTAAAACACCTATGTATTTTTTCCTCCGGAATTTTTCCATCTTGGAAGTCTCATTTACAACTGTCTGCATTCCCAGATTTCTCTACACAATGGCATCTGGGGACAATACCATTACCTATAATGCATGTGCCACTCAATTATTTTTTGTTGTTGTCCTGGGTGTGACTGAGTTTTTTCTCCTAACAGCTATGTCCTATGACCGTTATGTAGCCATCTGCAAACCCCTGCATTACACGACCATCATGAGCAAAAGAGTCTGCATCAAGTTCCTTATTGACTGTTACATAATTGCTCTAATCATTGTTATCCCACCATTTGGCATGGGCTTTGAGCTTGAATTTTGTGATTCCAATGTCATAGATCACTTTGGCTGTGATGCTGCCCCCATCCTGAAGATTACTTGCTCTGATACAGAGTTTATAGAGCGATTTGTATTAATCTTGGCAGTGTTGACACTCCTGTTTACCTTGGTGTGTGTGATTATGTCCTACACTTACATCATCGGGACCATTCTCAGATTCCCTTCTGCCCAGCAAAGGAAAAAGGCTTTTTCCACTTGCTCTTCCCATATAATTGTGGTTTCTATCACTTATGGAAGCTGCATCTTTATCTATATTAAACCATCTGCAAAAGAAGGGGTAGCTATTAACAAGGTGGTGTCAGTGCTTACCACTTCGGTTGCCCCAGTTATGAATCCCTTCATTTACACGCTAAGGAATAAGCAAGTAATACAGGGTTTCAAAGACATGATCAAAAGAATTGCATCTATCTCAAAGAACTAAAGGAGTAATGAGTGCAAATTGAAAAATTATAAAAGAATTCACTATCTCCATTTTATTTTTCCCTAATTCTATACTAGTCACGATTTTTGTATATTACAACCTCATTCTGTTACACTTACCACCCACTATCTATAAAAGTATTAATTAACCTTTTTATTTCAAGCTATTCCCAGAAATACATGGGAATAAATCTTCAGCAAACTTTTATAATATCACACCTATTATTATTCACATAACAAGAAATGTGGACAGCATCAATTTACTGTCATATTGGTGCTCATCTGCTCCTTTTGTACTGACTTACATGTCCAGATTTAAGCCCCAGATTTCCCAAGGACATCAATGATGATCATCTATGTCTGCAGAAATAATCCTGTAAGTACCCTCCTTGATAACAGGCATTATTCTATCTCTTCCACTTTTCAGCAAGATACAAATACAGACTAAAATTTTTTTCAAATGCCATTTGCTTAAAAGCTGTACAACTTCCTTTTATTAAAAACCCTAACTCTGTATAAATAGAATTTCATATGCCTGTCACTGTGTGTATACCTGGGTGCATCTATGTGTATATTTTTGCCCTTTCAGAATATCAGCTTAATAAGCTTAAAGGGGTTAATGGGAAGGACAAAATATAAATGAAAATTTGTACCTGAATTCTATTCTGTTATCCAAATTATTCACCATAATAATTTTTCTAATCATTTTTTCTAAATATTTTTGAGGATTTCTAAATACAAAGAAATCCAATCTAAACCACAGAGTCTAATAAAACTAACCAATGAATAAAGAATTCAAATTTTTAAGTGCTCATTTTTGCCTTTTCAACTTAGTCCCACTTCCTCATTACCTCTCTTTCTTCATAATTTTCTATTGTTTATCTGATGCTCTAGGGAAATATGTGCTGTACCAGGGGTCAAAAAGTTCACATTACTCTCTGGTTTTTATTACCACCAACTCAGACAGATCTTTTAACTGCATAATTTCTTCCAAATTTGAGGAAATATTAAACTGAAGGACAAGTTGGAGGAGTAAGGTGGCACTAGAAAACAGGCCAGAAATTCTAGTGATATTTAGGGGGCTATCCCAAGCTAATTTATAAGACCATGAAATTGGACCATAATGGATAAACAGTTCCAAAATTCCTCACATCAGAGATAAAGAATGAGTCTGAAGATGATTACACTAGAATAAATAAATCTTTTTTCTCCACCCGATTCCCAGTCTGTCCACTGGAACTCTCTAGATGTAGAATATGCTTTTAAAAATAAAATGGGAAAGAAATATCTATGGAAATTCTGAACTGTGAACTGAGCAAAGCAAGTTAATAATTGAGTTTACCAGACTGAAGGAGTAATTAAAGAATGTATTTAGTCTGCTGAGGGTAGACAAGATTTTGTTACAGATAATTTTTCTTATCTTTTTTGTATGTTAGTAACTTTGAAAATGAATAATCTCTTTATTACATGACATATTTTTCAATACGATTATTTCATTAATGATCTCTTCTTCACCAGACACTGAGCTCCATAAGGTCAAGTACTGTGCTTGCCAATCATATTTCCAATAGAGTTTAAATGTACTCCATACACCTCTTAATTGGCTGAAGATAGCCTCAACCATTCCAGTTCTACCCCAACTTTGGCAGTCCCATGGTCTTACAAAGGCAATAGAGAAGATCCTCCAGGCATTAGCCTATGAAAACAACGATTGTCCTCATTCGCACAGCCTTCATGTTCATGAGCTCCACTACTTCCATGCAGTATTTGAAAATGGAAATCTATTTTTTTAATATTTTTTATTATACTTTAATTTCTGGGGTACATGTGCAGATCTTGCAGGAAGGATTGTTGCATAGTACTGAAAGCTCTAGTCAGAGCAATTAGGCAAGAGAAATAAATAAAAGACATCATGACAGAAAAGGGAAAGTTTTCAGAATAAAAGACAAAAGCATGCCCATCTGAATAGATGCACAAAAAAAAAAAAAAAGCATTTAACAGGCCAGGTGTGGTGGCTCATGCCTGTAATCCTAGCACTTTGGGAAGCCAAGGCAGGTAGATCACTTGAGGTCAGGAGTTTGGGACCAGGTTAGCCAACACGGTGAAACCCCATCTCTAATGAAAATACAAAAAATTATCCAGACATGGTGGTACACACCTGTAGTCCCAGCTACTCGGGAGGCTGAGGTTGGAGAATTCCTTGAACTCAGAGGGTGGAGGTTGTAGTGATCTGGGATCATACCACCACACTCCAGCCTGGGCAAGAGAGTCAAACTTCATCTTGAAAAAAAAAAAGCAGATTAGGTACAGAAGGGATATACCTCAATACAATAAAGCTCATATATGACAAGCCCACAGTGAACATCATACTCAATAGTAAAAAGTTGAAGGTCTCTCAAGGATACCCACACTCACCACTTTTTTCAGCATCATACTGAAAGCTCTAGTCAGAGCAATTAGGCAAGAGAAATAAATAAAAGATGTCATGACAGAAAAGGGAAATGGTCTGTTGCTGACATGATATAACTTACAGAAAGCTCTGAAGACTCCTCCAAATGACTGTTAGAACTGATCAACAAATTCAGTACAGTTGCAGGATATAAAATTTACATACAAAAATCAGTCTTATTTCTATACACTAACAACAAACTATCCTAAAAATAAATCAAGAGAACAATCCCATTTACAATAGCAACAACAACAACAAGAAAAACATAGCTAGGTGTAAAAATTAAAACTCAGTTTTCAATAAGAAGTGAGACATCTGAATACTAAAAACTATAAAACACTGATGAAATAAATTGAAAAAATACAAATAAATGAAAAGGTATTTCTTGTTTTGGGATTAGAAAAATGAATATTGCTAAAATATGTAACTACCCAAAGTAATGTACAGATTCAATACAATCCCTATCAAAATTCCAATGGTATTTTTTACAGAAATAGAAAAAATGTATATAAAATTTATATGGAACCACAAAAGATCCCACATAGCCAAAGCAATCTGGAGCAAAAAGAACAACAATGCTTGAGGCTTCACTGATTTCAAAATCTACTACAAAGGGCCGGGCACGGTGGCTCAAGCCTGTAATCCCAGCACTTTGGGAGGCCGAGGCGGGTGGATCACGAGGTCGAGAGATCGAGACCATCCTGGTCAACATGGTGAAACCCCGTCTCTACTAAAAATACAAAAAAATTAGCTGGGCTTGGTGGCGCGTGCCTGTAATCCCAGATACTCAGGAGGCTGAGGCAGGAGAATTGCCTGAACCCAGGAGGCGGAGGTTGTGGTGAGCCAAGATCGCGCCATTGCACTCCAGCCTGGGTAACAAGAGTGAAACTCTGTCTCAAAAAAAAAAAAAAAAAAAAAAAATCTACTACAAAGCTATTGTCATAAAAGCTGCATGGTACTGGCATAAAAATAGACACATTGACAATGGGACAGAATACAGAGCCAAGAACATATAATGGGAAAATGACAATCTCTTCAACAAATGGTGCTGAGACAATTGAATATCCACATGCAGAAGAATAAAATTGGATCCTTATCTCACATCACATACAAAAATCAACTCAAAATAGATAAAAAACTTAAATATAAGATATGAAACCAGGCTATTTCATTTAATGTATCCAAAGCAATGGTTGTTGGTTGCATGTGTAGAGACTATTTTAAATATTTCCTGGTTAGCACTAACCATGTGAGTTTCTTCTCCAGAAGGGCCCCATATGAAGCCAACAAATGTAGTCCTAGTGGGGTGTAGGGCAGAGCCAAGGCAGGTGTTTTGTTTTGTTTTGATTTGTTTTGTTTTGTTTTGTTTTGTTTTGTTTTAGCTGAATCCCCTAAACAATTTATGGCCATTGTGGATGCAGAGACTTCAGAAAGAATGAGAAGAGACTGTTAAAGTCTCTATGGTGCAGGAGCCTCTGTGGGGCATTCAATGAAAGTGCCTGTTGTATTACAATTTCAGAGAGATTCTAGAGCCTTTTCTTATTGGGTGGCATACTCTAAGTGGTTATCAGCATAATGGACTTAAACAAAATTTGTAAATGAGGAATATATTGCCACTGAAACCCAAATAAATATCTTAAGTGTTAAGCCCACTTTAAAATAGTGGCTGTCAATGAAGGTGAGGAGTTGATTTCTCACTTCATCAGGTATGGATTATCTCTGAGCTGATTAGTAATGCCCAGAAATTTTTCTGAAGGGTCTAGGGCCTTGAAATTTATGGGACACAATGGTCCAACCTCATTTGGTAAGTTCAACAAGTGTTTGTATATCCTGTGTGAGTGTATCCTTTGAATTTCCTCACATGAGGATGTTATCAACATAACGTTATCAACAGAATTGTCTTAGTATGTTTTGTTACTTAGAATAGATAAAATGGGGTAATTTATTTTTTAAAAAAAAGATACTTACTTCTTACAGTTATGAAGCCTGAGAAGTACAAGTCAAGAAAGTATATCTGGTGAGGGCCTTCCAACTGTTGGGGACCCTGCAGACTACCAAGGTAGGCACAGGGCATCACGTGATGAGGGAGCTGAGCATGTGGACATGCTAGTTCAGATCTCTCTTCCTCTTTTATAAAGTCAGTATTTCCATTCCCATGATCCCATGATAACCCATTAATCCATTAATCTGTGAATGGATTAGTCTATTTATAAGGACAGAGCCTTAATGATCCAATCACCATTTAAAGGCCCTACCTTTCAATATTGCTAAATTGGAAATCAAGTTTCAATAGAAGTTTCTCAGGGAATATTCAGACCATGCCATTATTCCCCTGAACCCCTAAAACATGTGTTCTTCTCACACAGAAGTATATTCATTTCATCCCCAATGCCCCAAAGTCTTAACTTGTTTCCACACCAACTCAAAAGGTCAAAGTCCAAAGTCTCATCTGTGAGCCTATGAAAGACGCATTCCCATTCCAAAAGGGAGAAAATAGGCAAGAAGAAAGGGATAACAGGCCTGAAGCAAGTTCAAAACCCAAGAAAGTAGACATTAGGTCCTAAGATTCCAAAATAATCTCCTTGACTCCATGTCTGGCACCCTCACTTTGGCTTAAGGATTTTATCCCCAAAGCCTCAAGCAGGCCTGCCCCTATGGCTTTGCTGGGCTTAGTTCACTTCAGCTCTCCCAGGCTGACATTGTACATTGGTAGTTCTGGAGTTTCAGCAGTTCTACTCCCATACTCCTCAAGGCATGCCCCTAGTGAGGACTCTCTGCAGTGGACTCACTCCCACAGCCCCTTCAATCCCATGGTGGGAACTCTATAGCAGCTTCAACCCTACATTTATGCTGAGTATTGTTTTGATTAAGCAATCAAAGTCTCTATGGTGGCTCCACCCCTGTGACACAACTCTGCCAAGAACCCCAGGCTTTTGATGCCATTCTTTGAAATCTAGGTGGAGGCCACGAAGCCTCCACAGCTCCCATTTTCTGAAAGCCTGCAGAATTAATACCACATGGACACTACCAGCTATAACTTGTGCCTTCCTGGGCTGCAACATGAGCTTCACCTGGGGCAGGTTGAGCCATGGCTGAGGCAGCCATGGAGCACTGTACTAAAATGTAGGCAGCAGAATCCTGAGGCAACCCTGGGCAGTGAATCCATGAAGATCACCCCAGGCCTATCCCCTGAAAGCATTCTGCCCTCCTATACCTCTGGGCCTGTGATGAGAGAGGCAGCATTGAAGATCTCTGATAATGTCTTCAGGGTATTTTTTCCATTGTTTTGAGAATAGTACCTGACTCTTTTTGACCTGTGCTAATCTTCTTAGCAAATGGTTCTGTATGCTTGGTTTCCTCTCCTGAACATGACTTTTCACTCTACATAGCCAGGCTGAAAGTTTTTCAAATATTTCTACCCTGTTTCCCTTTTAATTATAAATTCTGTTTTAAATTGTTTCTTTGTTCCCGAATCTCAATGGAAGTGGCCAAAAGCAACCATGCAGCTGCTTCTATTTTGCTTAGACATTTCTTCTGCCATATATGCTAGTTCATCAATCTCAAATTTGATAAACAAAGCTCTCAAGTATAGACACAGCTCAGCCAAGCTCTTGTCCAATTTATAACAAGAATGGCCTTTCCACAAGTTTCCAAAACTTTGCTCCTCAGTTTTATCTGAAACTTTGTCAGAATGGCTTTTACTGTTCATATTTCTATTAACATTCTGGTCATAACCACTTAACCAATCTCCAAGAAGTTCCAAATTTTCCATAGCCTTCTATGTATTCTAGGCCCCCACCAGATTATAGGCTTTTTCTAGCCTAATCTTCCAAATTCTTTCACCTTCTGCGCAGTATTGACTTTTAAAGCTGCTTCCACATTTTCAAGGGTTTGTTATTAGCAACAGTGTGTGTTCCTGGAAAAAGTTGAATGCGGTTAAGATCTTGCCTGCAAAGACTGTGTGCTGGCAGACCTGTTGAGATATCCCATGGGGAAGGGGAAGTGAGTGAAAGTATATTTCATTCAAAAGTGAAGGCTAATTGCTTCTGAGAGGCTGTTTGAACTATGCATTGAATTGAACATATTAGCAAAATATGTAAATAGCAAACTATTTTCCAGCTGTTGGTTGAATGTAGTCAGTAATTTGGTAGTTTAGACATGGGAGATTAATGGAGGATACCACAGCATTCAGGCTATGGTGATTTACTGTGAAGTGTCATTCATTTATATCATGTTTGAGCACTGGCCACAATGGGTTATTGAAAGAGAGACAACAGGAACAATGACAAGGCCAGGCACACCCACCCCCAGGGAGTGTCCCTCCATTGCTCTACATTTCCCCAAAACTTCATGGCTGTGGCAGACTCTCTAATGGAACTTTTATCTCAGTGGTCTCTCTGGAGCCTCTCTTCTCAGACATATGTTTACAGTTTGTTCTCAAAATTGCCAACAACTGAGGTTCATTAGCCCCTTTTGAACTTTGGTCCACAGGGCTTCTTTAGCTTCTTCAGGAAATTGATCCCATGTGCCTGCTCTAAAAAGAGCAGATAAAACCTGTGTTCCTCTAGTTAACACAGAAACTGCAAAGATGCCCATACCCTCCCATCTAAGAACTTCAACATAATCTCTCTTAGAACATAAATTTTAAGGAATTTGCAGTCTCTCAAAGTCTTTTCTTCTGATTCAATAACTGTTATAGGCTTTTTTTTTTCTTTTTTTATTATACATTTGAAGGTCTATGTCTCTCAAGAACTATGATTTGATTCTGGATTGGATTCTTAGAATGGAACATAATATGCTTTTTTTCCCAGTTAAGTTCCACAAGCTTGGATACTTCCATTAAGAGAAAAGTAGAATGTGGATGGAAGCCAATGGAAAACATGTTGAAGTTTATACTACTCAAAGCTCCACGTGGCACATCTCATCTTTTATTTACCTCTTAGGTACAACAAGGTAAATAGTTCACTACAGTCATTCAGATTATCAAAGGTATGAGCATCATATGTTTTTAAGGTCATTGATTTTATCATTCTATAAATGTGGATTATGAAATGAATCAACTGTGAAAATCTGGAAGAAAATGCAGTACTTGCTAAAGACTACAGCTTAGTATAAACAAGGAAGAGGGTTGCAGGAGACCCAGGTCAATGTTTAACATCATCTAGGACCTCCAAAAACTGTATGGGAAGATGGGAAGGCTGACAAGAATGATTGTAATCATATAATTTTTCTAATCCATTGCATGTAAATTAAAGGAACCCTTTTATATCATATTTCCCTCTTAATCAGAAAAATCTAAAGATGCACTCAGAATACTACCATCAAATTTCCCTTCCCTGAGAATTACCAATTTATTTACAAAGATCTTATTGTCAAAAACTTTTTCTGGCTTCTGTAAGACAAGAATACAAAACAGGAGAGTTTGGGTAATAAACTGTCATCTTTAGTTGCCATTGAGGACTCTAAGCCTCAGCAAAATTCATTCCATAGTGCTGCTTACAGAGATCTTAAAATTTCTCTTCTCAGAGATATATCTCAAATCAGTGCCTGGATGACTCTGAATGTGGCACAGAAACCTATAATAAAATGTTAATTAATGTAACATATTGATGCTTAAGCCTTGTTCATGTAGAGGAAAAGGCTCACAATACAAAATAATATTATCTTCAGCATTGCCTGTGTAGGGAAATTCCTACTTGTTTCTGAAACAAAGATGTCAGAGATTTGGACAGTAATTGGAGATAAAGATCTACAGCAGATATCCAGTGAAGCATCAAATAGTACAGAGAAAGGAAAGAAAGAAACAGGAAAGCACAGAAAACAGAATGAGGTAGAGAGATATGTGCCAAAAGCACAGAAGTAGGAGAGCTTATAATACAGTCAGGAGAAAGTGCTTTAAACATGAAGGTTTTATAAACATTTTGAAAGGAAGCAATAGGTTCAAAAACTTCTCTTTTTCTGAAGAATCATGAATAAGTTATTCTATAATAAATTTCTCTTTTCCTTGGAGACCGAGTTTCACTCTTGTTGTCCAGCCTGGACTGCAATGGCATGATCTCAGCTCACTGCAACCTCCGTCTCCCAGGTTCAAGTAATTCTCCATCCTCAGCCTCCTGAGTAACTGGGATTACAGGCATGCACCACCATGCCCAGCTAATTTTCTGTATTTTTAGTAGAGACAGGGTTTCTCCAGTATTGGTCAGGCTGGTCTCTAACTTCCGACCTCAGGTGATCTGCCTACCTCACCCTACCAAAGTGCTGGGGTTACAGGCATGAGCCACTGCACCCAGCCTAATAAATTTTCTTAAGTGCCCAGGAACAGGTCAACTTGAGAAATGAAAAAGGTTACTTACATAAAAGATATGGGGCTTGCATGGAGCCAAGTGCCATCCAATGGGACACTGGTTTGGACCATCTGAATGGTGAGTAATGTCTGATCTGATTCTGTTCATTAAAATAAGCTTTATCACTCCTGCCCTAAGAAATTCTTCCATTTTCATCATTCTCACTTTTTCCCTTTAGGTTTTCTGAAGGTCAACAATGAAAAACAGAACCATGTTTGGTGAGTTTATTCTACTGGGCCTTACAAATCAACCCGAACTCCAAGTGATGATATTCATCTTTCTATTCCTCACCTACATGCTAAGTATCCTAGGAAATCTGACTATTATCACCCTCACCTTACTAGATCCCCACCTCCAGACCCCCATGTATTTCTTCCTCCGGAATTTCTCCTTCTTAGAAATTTCCTTCACATCCATTTTTATTCCCAGATTTCTGACCAGCATGACAACAGGAAATAAAGTCATCAGCTTTGCTGGCTGCTTGACTCAGTATTTTTTTGCTATATTTCTTGGAGCTACAGAGTTTTACCTCCTGGCCTCCATGTCCTATGATCGTTATGTGGCCATCTGCAAACCCTTGCATTACCTGACTATTATGAGCAGCAGAGTCTGCATACAACTAGTGTTCTTCTCCTGGCTGGGGGGATTCCTAGCAATCTTACCACCAATCATCCTGATGAGCCAGGTAGATTTCTGTGCCTCCAATATTCTGAATCACTATTACTGTGACTATGGGCCTCTCATGGAGCTTGCCTGCTCAGACACAAGCTTCTTAGAATTGATGGTCATCCTCTTGGCTGTTGTGACTCTTGTGGTTACTCTGGTGCTGGTGACACTGTCATACACATACATTATCAGGACTATTCTGAAGCTCCCCTCTGCCCAGCAAAGGACAAAGGCCTTTTCCACTTGCTCCTCCCACATGATTGTCATCTCCCTCTCTTACAGCAGCTGCATGTTTATGTACATTAATCCTTCTGCAAAAGAAGGAGGTGCTTTCAACAAAGGAATAGCTGTACTCATTACTTCAGTTACCCCCTTGTTGAATCCCTTCATATATACTTTAAGAAATCAGCAAGTGAAACAAGCTTTCAAGGACTCAGTCAAAAAGATTGTGAAACTTTAAAAAAGGAGATTACACATTAATAAAAAAAGATTTTTTCACTTAATAAATACACATTGAGTGTCTATATTTCAAGTGCTAAATTGGCCCTTGAGGATAAAAATAGGAAAAGTGTGTCTTAATTTCAAGGAAACTATAGTCTGGAATGAAGAAAGATATACAAATTTATAAAAAACAAAATAACATTTTAACTGTTATTAGAGAAGAGTTAATGGAGATCCAAAAAGGAACAGTTAGAAAGAATTAGTTCTAACCTGGCGCGGTGGCTCATGCCTGTAATCCCAGCACTTTGGGAGGCTGAGGCAGGTAGATCACGCGGTCAGGGATTCAAGACCAGCCTGACCAATATGGTGAAACCCTGTCTCTACTTAAAAATACAAAAATTAGCTGGGTGTGGTGGTGCGCACCTGTAATCCCAGCTACTTGGGAGGCTGAGGCGAGAGAATTGCTTGAACCCAGTGGGCAGAGGTTGTGGTGAGCTGAGAGCACGCCATTGCACTCCAGCCTGGGTTACAGAGTGAGACTCTGTCTCAAAAAAAAAAAAAAAAAAATGAGAAAGAATTAGTTTTGCTTTCCAAAAATTACTTAACATTTAAGAAGCAAAACATACTGCTTATTTAGAAGAGTAGGAAGATAAGCATTTAGAGTGAAAAAGGGAGCCAGATCATAAAAGTATATTAATACAACTACTGAGTTAGTTGGGTTTCATGAGTCAGTAAAAGTTTTGAGAATTGTTTTGAGGAGAATGTAGTATCGGCATTGCTCTTCAGCATGGATCCCTAGAAACTCTGTTTCCATCAAGGAGTGAACAATTTTGATTCTCCTCCCTTTTTTCGTTTATATTTCACATATAACCAATGTAACCTCCATCCTTTCCTAAGAGGAAAATGAAAGAAAGACTATATACATTTAGTCTACTTTTCTCCAAATGAGGAGAAAATTCTTAAGATTTTTGTCAACTTATATGTTCATTTTTCTAGTTTATGGTTAAAAGAGGTTTCTAGAGGCAAGTTTAGAAGACTTTCATTCTCCTAGACAAAATCTATTGTTTCTTTTCTTAGATGACATATTTTGAGTTAATGGCATAACATCTGTTTTCTCTGTCTTTGACAGTTTCTGGTGTTTTTTTTCTTCCTATTGTGATTTTATTTTCATCTTTTTGTTTCATTGTATTAGATATTACAAAAGAAAATTCTGTTATCTGGCTCTACTTCTTTAACTTTCCCCCAAATTTTTGCTTTTATTTTTAACATAAACTATGGATGACCTTTTTACAAAGTGAAACAAATATAAAGTGTCATTGCAATTTTATGTCTAGAATGTTCCAAATTATGAGTCTTGAAAAATAACTAGAAATAGACTACCTACCAGAAACTTTACAAACGGATTCAAGGCAATGATAACTTGAATTTGAATAGGTAGTGGTAGTGTCCAACTTCAACGGAAGTAAGGATTTTTTTAAATCTGAGCACTTGTACACAGCTTAATAATATCCAAACACATTGCAGGAGCTTTGTTAGTATTTGGGGTACAAGTGGAACATAATCTGGTATTTTTCACATGCTTTATATGTGGTAATATAGTTGAGTAGAATGAGGTACTTCTCAAGCATTTAAGGAACAAGTTGGATTGAACTGATTATGAGAGCAAATTCTCGAAGCCACAGAAAGTACTGGAGAATGTATAATATTTTTGAAAAAAGTATTTTATGTAAAGCTGTTGCCATTTTGAATATCTGGTTTTCTTTGGTTGCTAGCTAAAGATTAGTGATAATATTCGATATATTCCAAATATACTGCACTACATTTCAATTGGTAGAGATATGTTCTTGAACAGCCACATCTAAATCATTAAGTTCCCCTACATCCACATATCTTAGAGATATGTTCTTGAACAGCCACATCTAAATCATTGAGTTCCCCTACATCCACATATCTACCAAAACCTATGGTACAGTAGGAACAATGTCATATAGTGGCTTAAAACACAGGCTTTAGGTTCAAATCTCAGATTTTCAACTTTCTACCAAAGTTACCTGGGGATACTTTCTTGATCTCCCTAAGGCTCACCTATGGCAACTCTAAAATGTTTATAATATTAATGTCAAACTTATAGTTTTGAGCATTCAGTGAGAAAATAAATGTAAAACATTAAGACTGCCAGTATTTACTGTGTTTAATAAATGATCTCTATTATAACTAAATGATAATTATAAACAATATCTTTTTCAAGGAACCAGAGGTTAACTAGAAAGAAGGTATTAAATTGATTGGTTTAATATAACTGGGACTGTAGAAATGTTGGCCATTCTACTTGAAATGCATCTGCACAAGGCCAGCATATTTCTACTTTCCATACATCCAGCTGCATGCTGGGTAGCTGAGTCAGCAAAGGTCTTACCTACACTTTAAATAAAGCCATCAAAATACTTGGCAGCAGGTTATAAGGATGGGCTAGCATCAACTTCATTGCCCTAGATATCTATGGGAGAGAGAGGATGTATTAATATGCTGAGATAAGGAAGGAAGGTACTTTGTGTAAGTTAATGTTTAAGATCACTAGGCAAGACTTCACCCAGCCTTCTTTATATAAGCACTTGGAAATGAATATGGAAAAGAATGAATCACCTTCTAAATGAGTTTGTCAAAAAAAAGCAAGTCATATTCTTCTGAAGCTGTCCATCTAGTCTGGCTTTATGTTAACACATACTTGAAATGTAATCCAAGTCATAGATAAGCAAAAGCAATGACTTCCCAGAGTCTGGTGCTGAGCTACCAGAATGTTCAGTATCTAAATATATAAAATGGTGAGTTTTATTCCTCATGTTACCAAGTGTGGACTAGAATTAAAAGAAACAGCTTTAGCTGCCTAATATTCTCAGAATAAGATACCAGTGCTAGGGTGAGGAGATTATGAAAATGAACAAGAGCCAATCTGCTACATTTGGGCATTCATTCGTCCATTGCCTCTCTTTAAAGCTGCCAGAGCTTGTGGATGTATGGATTACAACTCTAAAGAGGTAATCTTCCAGTGTCATTTCTTGCAAAGAGTATGAAATAGAACACAAATAAAATATAATTGAGACGGATTCTCACTCTGTCACCCAGGCTGGAATGAAATGGTATGGTCTCGGCTCACTGCAACCTCTAGCCTCCCAGTTTCAAGCAATTCTCCTGCCTCAGCCTTCTGAGTAGCTGAGATTACAGCCATCTACCAGCACACCAGCTAATTTTTGTATAAAGTATAATTTTTTTAATTTTTATGTTTCAGCCAGGTACAGTGGCTCATACCTCTAATCCCAACTCTTTGGGAGGCTGAGGCAGGCAGATCACTTGAGGTCAGGAATTCAAGAAAAGCCTGGCCAACACAGTGAAACCCCATCTCTACTATTACATTGATGCAAAAGTAATTGCGGTTTTTGCCACTAAAATAATGGCAAAAACCGCAATTACTTTTGCACCAACAACAACAACAACAACAAAAAATGGAAATTGCATGCCTATAATTCCAGCTACTTAAAAGGCTGAAACACAAGAATCATTTGAAGTACAAGTGGCCTTTTGTTACATCAATAAATAGTGGTGAATTCTGATATTTGAGTGCACCTGTCACCCAAGTAGTGTAATTTTGATCTCTAGCCCCCCCATCGTCCCCCTTCTGAGAATCTAAAGTTCATTATACCACTCCATATGCTTTTGTATACTCATAGCTTAGTTCCCACTTACAAATTAGAACAGTTTTTAATTTCCCACTCTGTATTACTTCACTTAGAATAATTACTACAAGCTCCAACAAAATCAACAAACCCTTAGTTAGAAAAACTAAGAAAAAAGGGAAGACTCAAATAAATTAAATCAGAAATGAAAAAGGAAACATTCAATACCACAGAAATATAAATAATTATGAGACTATTTTGAACAAATATACATCAATAAATTGGATAACCCAGAAGAAACAAATAAATTCCTTAAAACATACAACATACCAAGACTTATTTAGAAATGAATAGAAAATCTGAACAGATAAACAATGAGTAAAGCAATTTAATGAGCAACAAAAAGCCTCCCATTAAAGAAATGCTCAGGACCTGATAGCTTCAGTGCTGTTTTCTACCAAACATTTAAAAAATAATTAACACCATTCCTTCTCAAGCCCTTCCAAAAAAATTTCAAAGAAGAAAATTCTTCCAAACTCATTTTAGGATGTCAGCATTACCTTGATATCAAAACACAATAAGAACATTTTAAAAAGAAAATTAAATTAAAATATCCTTGATGAACATAGATGAAAAAAATTCTCAACAAAATACTAGAAAAACAAATCCAACCAGCATATTAAAAAGATCATTCCTCATGACGAAGTGGGATTCATTCCAGGGACACAAGGATTGTTCAACATATGCAAATCAATAAATGTGATACACTACATTAAGAGAATGAAGTATAAAAACCACATGATCATCTCAATAGATGCAGAAAAAGCATTTGATAAAATTCAACATCACTGATAAAAGCCATAAACAAATTCAGTATAGAAGGAACATACCTCAACACAATGAAACAGTCTCTCAGACCACAGTGAAATCAAATTAGAACTCAGGATTAAGAAATTCACTCAAAACTGCACAACTACATGAAAACTGAACAATCTGCTCCTGAATGAATAATGGATAAATAATGAAACGAAGGCAGAAATAAAGATGTTCTTTGAAACCAAAGAGAAAAAATACACAATATACCAGAATCTCTGGGACACATTTAAAGCAGTGAGTAGAGGGTAATTTATAGCACTAAATGGGCAGAAGAGAAAAGAGGAAAGATCTAAAATCAACACCCTAATGTCGCAAATAAAAGAACTAGAGGAGCAAGAACAAACAACTTTAAAAGCTACAAGAAGACAAGAAATAAGTAAGATCAGAGCAGAATTAAAGGAGATCAATATACAAAAAAACCTTCAAAAAATCAATGAATCCAGGAGCTGGTGTTTTGAAAAGATCAACAAATTAGATAGACCAGACTTTGTTAGTCCAGACTAACAAAGAAGAAAAGGGAGAAGAATCAAATAGATACAATAAAACATGATAAAGGGGAT